GCCAGACTTTGCAAACACACCACCTGCCACTAACATTGATAACAAATCATGAATTTAAAAACAGTCAGACAAAGAGCTAATGGAGAGCCTGCGAATCTTCTTGTTTTTGACATGATCCTGTTCAACCTTTGTTTGAAGGTTAAAATCAGGGTGTGTGATGGTGTTTCTTCTTTTCTTTCTTTCATTTTTCTTTCTTTTTTTTCTTTCTTTTCTTTTTTTTTCTTTCTTTCTTTCTTTCTTTCTTTCTTTCTTTCTTTCTTTCTTTCTTTCTTTCTTTCTTTCTTTTTCTTTCTTTCTTTCTTTCTTTCTTTCTTTCTTTTCTTTTTTCTTTTCTTTCTTTCTTTCTTTCTTTCTTTCTTTCTTTCTTTCTTTTCTTTCTTTCTTTCTTTCTTTCTTTCTTTCTTTCTTTCTTTCTTTCTTTCTTTCTTTCTTTCTTTCTTTCTTTCTCTCTTTTTTTCTTTCTTTCTTTCTTTATTTTATCTTTTCTTTCTTCTTTCTTTCTTCTTTCTTTCTTTTCTTTCTTTTTCTTTCTTTCTTTCTTCTTTCTTTTTTCTTTCTTTTCTTTCTTTCTTTCTTTCTTTCTTTCTTTCTTTCTTTCTTTCTTTCTTTCTTTCTTTCTTTCTTTCTTTCTTTCTTTCTTTCTTTCTTTCTTTCTTTCTTTCTTTCTTTCTTTCTTTCTTTCTTTCTTTCTTTCTTTCTTTCTTTCTTTCTTTCTGTCTTTCTTTCTTCTTCTTTATCTTTCTTCTCAGTATGCCTGAAGTTTGCCGTCGAATTGACTCATCTGCCCACACGTGTTTTCTTATCAATGTCTGGCAGGGCTGTCACGTGTCTGCTTCTCTTCCGTCTGCTGCGCGAGGAACTGTCTGGTGTTGCTATCTTTGGCTCTGCCCTCAGGTTTGACGTTTGAACAACGGATCAACATCATGGCACACGAGTAGTAAACCATAAGTGCTACTTTCTTTCTTCTAACTTAAGTCTGAGTCCGAAAAAGCTCAGCACAGTGTACAGGCTCTGTAGCACCGGCGAGGATCCTGAAATGCTTTGGGTAGATTTTTACCTTAAATTTTGGCCTGGGCAGCGCCGTCAGGTTACTCTTTTCGATTTTCAACTGTAAAGGGATTTTATTACGTGCGCAACAATACACACGGGCGTCCGATCTCACTACCCAGAAACCAGGGGGAATTACTACAAGTCTACGTGCAAACATTCCAGCCCTTACTAGCGATTAAACCCGGAACCTCTAGCATTGAAGGCGGATACTATGCCTCGAGACCACACAACACCCCCCCCCCCCCCTCCCTCGGCGCAGACCTGATAAAGGCCTTATCCTTTTAAGGACTACGCCGGCCTCTTCTGTACCGTCTTGTCCTCTAGCTTGTTTCCCAAGGGCTCTAGCTGGGGGAAGGTGTCTTTTCTTTGACTGTGCTGCTTTCGACTTCGGTGTCCGATATCTCTACGTTCTAGTAGCTGGCTAGTTCTGTCAGCTTCAATCTTATCTTGATTGGTTGACTGTTCCACTGACTTGCTGGATTCCCCCCCCCCCCCCCCTCGCTGTTGTTCATTAATGGCTTGCTGTTTAGCTTCTATTTTCTCTACCGTGGCACTGCACTTTCGTGTCATTCTTTCTAGATCCTCTTTGTATTGATCTGCAGGTATTTCGGTTCAGTTATCTTCTTGTTTACATCGCCGGTGAATGTGGCTTCTTGTTCTTCTTCTTCCTTTTAACCATCGATACATTTCCGTGGAAATTATTGGTTGTTTATCCACCCCTGGGCTTGTTTTAGTTCTGTTCTAGAACCCGACTGTTAGTCTCTTGCCTCTAAAGCAGATACAGACAGAAACTCCCAGTTAGTCGACTCTAAGACTGAAACTCCCAGTTAGTCGACTCTAAGACTGAAACTCCCAGTTAGTCGACTCTAAGACTGAAACTCCCAGTTAGTCGACTCTAAGACTGAAACTCCCAGTTAGTCGACTCTAAGACTGAAACTCCCAGTTAGTCGACTCTAAGACTGAAACTCCCAGTTAGTCGACTCTAAGACTGAAACTCCCAGTTAGTCGACTCTAAGACTGAAACTGAGTTAACTCTAAGACTGAAACTCCCAGTTAGTCGACTCTAAGACTGAAACTCCCAGTTAGTCGACTCTAAGACTGAAACTCCCAGTTAGTCGACTCTAACAATAGGCTTTTTTGGCGGGGCCGGAGGAGGGGGGGGGGAGATTGGTTTACTCTTGTTTCCCCCCGTACAGTGGAACTACACAAACACACACACACACACACACACACACACACACACACACACACACACACAGAAACAACTCTCGCATAGGACCACAATTGGAAACTAAAATTACTAAAATAAATGGGGGGGGGGGGGAAGAGAATTGAAATATATCGTCGAAATTAAATGTCTTTTAAACACCCTACTAGAGGAAAGAGTGAACAAAAAGAGAACAAAAAGTAGACACAGATGCGCGTGGGAGGATGACATCAATAGAACAACAGTCTAAGAGAGTGTACTACAATGACAAGAGTGTATCAGAGATCTTTATCAATCAGCCGACATTTCCGAGACATTAGCAGGAAAAAGCGTGGAAGATAACCTTGATAACGAAGACATTAAGTTAACATTGATAACGAAGACATTAGCAGGAAATGTGTAGGAGCGGATAACGAAGACTTAGCGGGTGTAGAAGTAGATAACGACCATTCAGCAGGTACAAGTGTAAAGAAAAAAACGACAAGACGTTAGCATATTTAAAGTAGATACCTTAAAAAAAAAAGGCCACGTCATATTTAAGTATGAAATTGTGAGCATTATCATAAGTGATGTGGCATGAATGAAGCGTGTTCATTCATGTACTTAACTACATATTTCATATTTATACAAGGTCGCTTAAGTACCTGATACAACGAAATACCGGATGTTGACACTACCTGTGACGTCAGCGGAAATAGAGTCTCCGTGTTCATTGAAATATTCCTTCAAGTTGTTTTGTACTTTCATGAGAGGGGCAGAGATAGATAGATAGATAGATAGAGAGAGAGAGAGAGAGAGAGAGAGAGAGAGAGGGGGGGGGAGAAATAAAAGAGAGAACGTGAAGAGAGAGAGATGTGCGAGAGAAGTGAGCGAGAGGGGAAGAGATGAGGCAAGGGAAGGGAGAGGAAAGAGACAGATAATGGACAAAAAGAGAGATGTGAAAGAGTTTAGGATGGGGCACCAGAGGAAGAAAGGAAGAAGAAAGACTATCTTAGAAAGATTTTGATAAAGAGGTAATGGTAGTGAAGGAGGGGGGTGGGGGGGGTGGGGAAAAGAGAAGGAAGAGAGAAATTTGAAAGAGAGAATGAAAAGGGAGAAGGGAGCGAGATGGGGGGGGGGGGGGGGGGGTTGACGCAATTGAAGGGAGAAGGAGAAAGAGGGGGGGGGAGAGAGATGTGAGCCAGTTTAGGATAGCGCACAAGAGGCAAAAAGTAGGAGAAAGACGAAGAAAAAGATAATGAGAAAGAAATTGTGGGAGTGATATTTTGGAGGGGAGGGGGTGGATTGAGAGAAAAAGGAGATAGAAAGAGAGAGAGAGAGAGAGAGAGAGAGAGAGAGAGAGAGAGAGAGAGAGAGAAAGAGAGAGAGAAAGAAAGAGGTAAATTGATGTCATGGCTGACATAACACTTTCTTCACAAGATCAAGTTAACAGCAGCAGGCATTGTGGTTTATATTTCCTGTCTAGGAGCTCGTGTGCCGAAACATTTGTCGACGAGAGGTTACTTCTAGTGACGATTGGTAGACCACTGCTGTACATGCTCCCCAGCTGTACTTGCTCCCCAGCTGTACATGCTCCCCAGCTGTACATGCTCCTCTGCTGTACATGCTCCCCAGCTGTACTTGCTCCCCTGCTGTACATGCTCCCCTGCTGTACTTGCTCCCCAGCTGTACATGCTCCCCAGCTGTACATGCTCCCCAGCTGTACATGCTCCCCAGCTGTACATGCTCCCCAGCTGTACATGCTCCCCTGTGGAGTTTCTTCTTATTCCTGCGTTGGTTCCTGAGCCCTTTTTTGAAGTTAAAAAAAAGTATACCCACTTCCTTACAAAGAAACAAATACAAAATAGTAGCGTATCTATTATAGATATCTTGCAGAATGAACAACAGCAATTTAAAAAAAATATATATTTAGACATTTGTGATTTTACAAGGCAAATAACTGAATCAGTCAGCTTGTGATGTCACTGTCGACACAATTGCAAGGCGGTTTGCTGTCAAAACACCCGCAACTATTTAACTCTCATCTCCCTTTATTCAAAAGAAAAAACAAAACAATTTAGTTTAACAAAGGCGAAAATCGTTGGCGATAAGACAGCCAGATCGACAGACGAGTGCATGATAGCAGAATCGACAGACAAGCACAGTATAGCAGGATCGGCAGACAAGCACAGTATAGCAGGATCGACAGACAAGCACAGAATAGCAGGATCGACAGACAAGCACCGTATAGCAGGATCGACAGACAAGCACACTATAGCGTGATCGACAGATAAGCCCAGTATAGCAGGATCGACAGACAAGCCCAGTATAGCAGGATCGACAGACAAGCCCAGTATAGCAGGATCGACAGACAAGCCGAGTATAGCAGAATCGACAGACAAACACAGTATGGCAGGATCGGCAGACAAGCACAGTATAGCAGGATCGACAGACAAGCACAGTATAGCAGGATCGACAGACAAGCACAGTATAGCAGGATCGACAGACAAGCACCGTATAGCAGGATCGACAGACAAGCACACTATAGCGTGATCGACAGATCAGCCCAGTATAGCAGGATCGACAGACAAGCCCAGTATAGCAGGATCGACAGACAAGCCCAGTATAGCAGGATCGACAGACAAGCCCAGTATAGCAGGATCGACAGACAAGCCGAGTATAGCAGAATCGACAGACAAACACAGTATAGCAGGATCGGCAGACAAGCACAGTATAGCAGGATCGACAGACAAGCACAGAATAGCAGGATCGACAGACAAGCACAGTATAGCAGGATCGACAGACAAGCACAGTATAGCAGGATCGACAGACAAACACAGTATAGCAGGATCGACAGACAAGCACAGTATAGCAGGATCGACAGACAAGCCCAATATAGAAGGATCGGCAGACAAGCACAGTATAGCAGGATCGACAGACAAGCCCAGTATAGAAGGATCGGCAGACAAACACAGTATAGCAGGATCGACAGACAAACACAGTATAGCAGGATCGGCAGACAAGCACAGTATAGCAGGATCGACAGACAAGCACAGAATAGCAGGATCGACAGACAAGCACAGTATAGCAGGATCGACAGACAAGCACAGTATAGCAGGATCGACAGAAATACACAGTATAGCAGGATCGACAGACAAGCACAGTATAGCAGGATCGACAGACAAGCACAGTATAGCAGGATCGACAGACAAGCACAGTATAGCAGAATCGACAGACAAACACAGTATAGCAGGATCGACAGACAAGCACAGTATAACAGGATCGACATACAAGCACAGTATAGCAGGATCGACAGACAAACACAGTATAGCAGGATCGGCAGACAAGAACAGTATAGCAGGATCGACAGACACGCACAATATAGCAGGATCGACAGACAAGCACAGTATAGCAGGATCGACAGACAAGCACAGTATAGCAGGATCGACAGACAAGCACAGTATAGAAGGATCGGCTTTCCTGAGCAGCTCCAATGGATAAGCGGTCTCTTTTTGGAAAATGTCCCGGAACATTTTTAGCAAAATCATTTTGAGTCAGCAGGAAACTTTCACTACAAGCTAAACACGAATCATATGGGATACGCGGAGTCACTGGCTCGGATACCAACAAGGATGACGGAGCAAAGATATCCTGAGAAACATATCCGGGATCCCGCCTAAGGGATGAACGATAGGACTGACTGTCCGCATCTGTGATGTAGTAAATCTCTGTCATCGCATATGAGGGAAATACTTCTCACATACTTGTATAAATAAATATATATATATATATATATATATATATATATATATATATATATATATATATATATATATATATATATATATATATATATAAGTTTTGAATGCAGAAAGTTTTGTAAAGAACTGAAGACTGTAAAACGAGGACATCAACAAGACCTTAATAGTTTAAATGATCACGATAGGAACAAGTTAAATGATAATGAGGAAATATGTATTAGATGGAAAACAAACTTTGCTGAATTGTTAAACTGTGAAACCCCACTTAATACTTATCGACAGAAAGAAATATTAACATGTGAACCCAAATATTAAAGAGCCTGATTTAAAAATAGTACTGTATGTCATAACACGGATTAGAAACAATAAAACAAGTAGTGCTGATGGAATTTCAGCTAACTTTTAAAAGAATGTGGTCATGCATTATATATAAAGATTTATGAATTAATAAAACTAATTTGGAAGACGGGGAAACTACCCTATGAATGGAACATTTCTTTATTAATACCTTTTTAAAAAAAAAGAAAAGTGTGAAAATTTTAAAGGAATATCACTAATATCTACAAGCTATAAGATACTATCGTTGGTACTGCTAAACTGGACTAAAACCATACGTCGAAGACATATTAGGAGATTACCAAGCGGGTTTGCGACAGAACAGATTAACCACTAGATCAGATATTCATTTTACGGCAAATAGAAGAACAAAATTGGGAATATAGAAGTGATGTACATAATGTTTTTGTGGATTTTAAAAAGATGTATGATAGTGTGCATAGAAACAGTTTTTGGAATGGTATGAAGGACTTTGGAATACCAAACAAGTTAATTACTATGACCAAACTATGTATGATAGACACTCGTAATATAGTAATAAATAAAGGCAGAATGCCAGACTCTTTTCAAATAACATCTGGTTTAGCAAGGTGATGCTCTGTCCCCACTTCTTTTCAATTTGGCCCTGGAGAAAATTATAAGGAAATTGAAACAAGAGTGTACTATAGGAGAAACTGCAAGAATACTTGGATATGCAGATGGCATTGATATCGTTGGAGAAAGTGAACTAGAGACTGCTAAAACACTGACTCTGTTAAACGAATCAGCTCAGAAAATGGGACTAGTTTTCAATCAAGATAAGACAGAATACATGATATTAACTAGACAGGAACAGGATATAAACTCAGGTCACATACAAGTCTATACTATGCAAATCAAACGAACGGAAACGTATAAGTACTTGGGTGCAGACTTCAACTGCTCCAACATGCTAAGAGAAGAAATACAATCTAGAATACAATCTGGAAATTTAGTATACTATTCCCTTTAACATCTTCTTAAGTCAAAGTGTCTGTCTCGCAACACCGGGATCAAAATATATTAAACTTTGACAAGACCAGTCGTTTTATATGGCTCTAAAACGTGGAGCAGCACAACTAAAAGAGATGAAACCTTATTACAGGTTTTCGAAAACAGAGTCTTACGACGAATCTTTAGACCCATCAAAGATGCAAACAGCGGTGAATGAATAGTGTTTAAATCACCGCTGATCACTGGCATCATGAGAGCTAACAGACTGAAATGGTTGGGGCATATTGAAAGAATGTCAGATGACAGAGAAGTGAAAAAACTGTATACACCAGGGAGATGAATGGTCGTAGACCACGAGGGAGACCAAGAAGACGATGGAGAGACAGACTTGCAAACACTCGGTGTAACCAACTGGAAAGAGAAGGCCAGCCAGAGAGATGAATGGAGGCGGGTGATATCTGCAGCAATGAACATCTAGGGCTCAGAATGCTGAAGAAGAAAAAGAGTTTTGAAATATGGCTGTGAATCATGGACAGTTAATCCTCCCTAAGTGCACGCCGTGTGGCGTTGGTAGTCATGTCTATTCACAACCTTCTGTCTTTTGTATTTTCAATGACAGATAATCTGCCATGCCATTATAAACTCTCCAGCATCTTTTCTGTCGGTCTCCCTCTGCCTCTCCTCCCCTTCAGCTTTCTTTCTGTCAGATGTACTCCGACTTTCTCCTTCTCATCACCTTACCAGAGAATATTGATTGTCTCTTTCATAAGTGGGTATTCAGGTCTCATTTACAAATTATAATTATTTTGTGTAATCTGTCAACTGGATTCTCATCATTGGTCTCTAGAACCGTGCACGGGTAATACACACGCCAACAACTTTCATGTCAGCTCTGAGATGGGATTTTATTCTAGAGTTGTAATGGGGGATATTTTCACCCACATTAGGAAGGTTGGGGGGTGGGCCCAAGGTTCACCCAAAACACCAGATATTCCAGATACTCGGATTATACGAGGTTTTCAATGTAGGTGATGACCACGAGTTATCACGTGAAACACGTTGATGGGACCACAGGTCGCCACGTGGAAGTAAAGGACCACCACGTGTTGCCACGTGAAACTAACCTGTGGTATAAGTTCAGACTTGATTCTGATCAAGTTAGTTTGTGTCGACTTGTTGGAGCGAAAGGACGGGAGACTGAGCGTACGAATGTCAACTTGAGATTGCTTGTGGTGAAATGAGAACCAGACGTCGACGTGTGAAGCCAGGAGTCTGTGTACTGTCCAGAAGATCAACCAGCTATACCCCCCATACATGACAAGAGTGATACAATAAGTAACCCAGATGTTTAGAAAGGGGCACCCGTGGCGGTTCCTGGGTTGAATTTTAGTGAGAACAAATAACAAGGACGCTGCAACTAGCGGGTTTTTTTTTTCTATGTACAAAAAATCTAGATCTGTAGAATGCAAAACGTGCAGGCAAGATTTAAATTCTGGAACAAGAGCAGACTTCACAAATAGACAAACAACCAGAACTTACCGCTGGTGATTTCAGTCAGTGAAAGGTAAGTAGAAGAGACTTAGGAGGCGATTGCTTGAAGACATCATTCATGCACCAGAAACAGATAATCTCATTTTGCCTGCTATCTGAAGAGGAGAGAATTACTAAATAATTGCTTTTCACTGATGACCAGGCTATAATAGCACCAACATCAGTACAACAACAGAAAAATTAACAGACTCCACTCAGAATGCAACAACAATGATATGAAGATCAACGCAAACAAAACAGAAGTCATGACTTTCTCCAGAAAAGAAAGAACCAATATCAAAACTGATGAACACCAGTTAAATCAGGCTAAGGATTTCAAATATTAGGGAAACATCAAGAAATCCTTTCTAGCGCTGACACCACGAGGCATTCCAGGAGTAGAGAATTGAAGAGGGAGAAGAAAAAGCAGTAGAAGAAGAAAAAAAAGAAGAAGAAGAAGAAGAAGAAGAAGAAGAAGAAGAAGAAGAAGAAGAAGAAGAAGAAGAAGAAGAAGAAGAAGAAGAAGAAGAAGGAAAAGAAGAAGAAGAAGGAGGAGAAGAAAAAACAAGACGAATAAAAGAAGAAGAAGAAGAAGAAGAAGAAGAAGAAGAAGAGAAGAAGAAGAAGAAGAAGAAGAAGAAGAAGAAGAAGAAGAAGAAGAGAAGAAGAAGAAGAAGAAGAAGAAGAAGAAGAAGAAGAAGAAGAAGAAGAAGAAGAAGAAGAAGAAGAAGAAGAAGAAAGAAGAAGAAAGAAGAAGAAGAAGAAGAAGAAGAAGAAGAAGAAGAAGAAGAAGAAGAAGAAGAAGAAGAAGAAGAAGAAGAAGAAGAAGAAGAAGGAAGAAAAAGAAAGAAGAAAGAAGAAGAAGAAGAAGAGAAGAAAAGAAGAAGAAGAAGAAGAAGAAGAAGAAGAAGAAGAAGAAGAAGAAGAAGAAAGAAGAAGAAGAAGAAGAAGAAGAAGAAGAAGAAGAAGAAGAAGAAGAAGAAGAAGAAGAAGAAGAAGAAGAAGAAGAAGAAGAAGAAGAAGAAGAAGAAGAAGAAGAAGAAGAAGAAGAAGAAGAAGAAGAAGAAGAAGAAGAAGAAAGAAGAAGAAGAAGAAGAAGAAGAAGAAGAAGAAGAAGAAGAAAGAAGAAGAAGAAGAAGAAAAGAAGAAGAAGAAGAAGAAGAAGAAGAAGAAAGAAGAAGAAGAAGAAGAAGAAGAAGAAGAAGAGAAGAAGAAGAAGAAGAAGAAGAAGAAGAAGAAGAAGAAGAAAGAAGAAGAAGAAGAAGAAGAAGAAGAAGAAGAAGAAGAAGAAGAAGAAGAAGAAGAAGAAGAAGAAGAAGAAGAAGAAGAAGAAGAAGAAGAAGAAAGAAGAAGAAGAAGAAAGAAGAAGAAGAAGAAGAGAAGAAGAAGAAGAAGAAGAAGAAGAAGAAGAAGAAGAAGAAGAAAGAAGAAGAAGAAGAAGAAGAAGAAGAAGAAGAAGAAGAAGAAGAAGAAAGAAAGAAGAAGAAGAAGAAGAAGAAGAAGAAGAAGAAGAAGAAGAAGAAGAAGAAGAAGAAGAAGAAGAAGAAGAAGAAGAAGAAGAAGAAGAAGAAGAAGAAGAAGAAGAAGAAGAAAAAGAAGAAGAAGAAGAAGAAGAAGAAGAAGAAGAAGAAGAAGAAGAAGAAGAAGAAGAAGAAGAAGAAGAAGAAGAAGAAGAAGAAGAAAGAAGAAGAAGAAGAAGAAGAAGAAGAAGAAGAAGAAGAAGAAGAAGAAAGAAGAAGAAGAAGAAGAAGAAGAAGAGAAGAAGAAGAAGAAGAAGAAGAAGAAGAAGAAGAAGAAGAAGAAGAAG